CTCTCAGATGGTACTGATGTGTCAATAATCATACAATTCCTGAATTTCTTGTCTTTTATGATAATATCAGGATTGTTGGCTTTTATTTACGTGTTAGTTTGAATTGGCATGTCCCAGAGTTATATTGTTATTTTGGGTAACTGTATCTGGTTGATGCTCATACCATCTCTCAGTGGTTTCGATTTTGTGCTTCTTGCATATCTTCCAGTACACATATGTCGCTTCCTTGTTATGTCTGTGGGTGTATTCATTTTTTGCCACCCTGAGGTAATATGGTCGACAGTTTCATCATATTTTCCGCAGATCCTGCATTTCGGGTTAGTTCCATCCAGTGATAGGATGTAGTTGCGGGGTTTTGGTCCTGGGCTGCAATAATTAGGCCTTCTATCGCAGCTTTCAACCCGGTGCTCCTCAGCCCTTGATGTGTTCTGTGTTGGTCCTCATCTGCTTCTTTCGCTCTTTTTAGGTATTTGCCATGCAACGTCTCCCAGTTTGTTTGTTTTTTTTTTTTGTTTTTTTGTTGAACAAGTTTTGTACTTTCTCTTTTACTCATTTGGCGTAGATGGTATTCGCTTCGTTTTTTGTTGGTAAGGTTTCAGGTATATTAAGCTGTTTCTTGAAGAGTGCAGCTTCTTTGTTGATAGAACGAATTTGGTGTTTTACTATTTGTAGCAAAGGGTCATTAGTTTTGTGAGGTTGGCTTTCAACGAGATTGTTGTAATTTTTAGAGTTAGTTCAAGTTAGATTAGACCTCGGCTTCCTAAAGCTCTTGGTACGTACAGCCTATCAACATCTGATTTTGGGTGGTGCATCCTCATTTGGGTAAGCTTTTATTATTATTATTATTATTATTATTATTATTTGCTTTGGTTCCTGGTGTATACTCATTTCTTTCAGGGCCCCGACCAGAGACCTAAGGTTAGAAATGGCATCATGACATTTTCCACTGAGCAATTTAAAAAAAGAAAATCGCACATAATTTACGTAGATAAGGCCCTTCGTAATGTGATTTTCTAAGCGTAGCTTAGATGCGGCACAAGGACGAAAGTATGGGGCACCTAGTGAGGATGGAACTCACTATTTAATCGTAATTAATCTAGCGGCACCAGCTTTCTAACCATTACACCACGTCGAAGTGCCCAAACAATTTTCTAAGGGTAGATACAAGGCCAAATGTATGGGGCACCGAGTGAGGATCGAACTCATAATTTAGTCGTAATTGCTCTAGCGAGACAAATCTGCTGGCTATTACACCACGTTCAAATGCCCAAATGTTTTAATAAGCATAGCTTAGATATGGTATAAGGCCAACAATGTGGAGTACTTAGTGAGAATCGAACTCACCAATCAGTTGTAATTGATCTAGCGATACAAACTTGCTAACCATTACAGCACGTCGAAGTACCCCTTGTGTTTTGTATGAACATTCATAAAAAAAAAAGCAGAAAAATTCAAAATAGTGATTTCAAAACAAAATCTGTATATGTCCATGCCTTACTTATAGATACACCCGGTGTTTATGTGTGAGCATGTGTATGCGCGTGTACGTGTTTTGGGGGAATCATTTCCCTAATACACATACATGCAAACATCAAAGTATTCATACGAGTTTTTCATTTATTATAAAGGCAAAATCGCGAGGCAGAAATCCGGGAGAAAAGCTCCAAGAGAAAAAGCGTCAATGACAACATGATATGCAAGGCGACAATAAAATGGCATTGAATATCCGATGCGGTTTGGGAATTTTCACAAAAGCTACCGAACGAATGAGCCATTTCGGAGAGAATTAAATATTTGACTTGGGAGTAGATTAAGGTGGATTAATTACATTTGTTGTAAACTGTTCTTTTAAGCGTTAAGGTTTAAGCTTTTTTACTTCTTATCTATCTATCTATCTATCTATCTATCTATCTATCTATCTATCAGTCTTTCTGTGTTAATATCTATCTATCTATCTATCTATCTATCTATCTATCTATCTATCAGTTTTTTCACTTTGTTCACATCTATTTTATTCTTCATATCTATCTATCTATCTATCTATCTATCTATCTATCTATCTATCTATCTATCTCAGTCCGTTCCTCTCAGTCCGTTCTATCTATCTATCTATCTATCTATCTATCTATCTATCACAGTCTGTTCATATCTATCTATTTATCTATTAACTATCTATCACAGTCTGTTCATATCTATCTATCTATCTATCTATCTATCTATCTATCTATCTATCAGTCTTTCTTTGTTATTATCTATCGGTCTATCTATTTATCTATCAGTTTTTCACTTTTTTCACATCTATTTTATTCTTCATATCTATCTATCTATCTATCTATCTATCTATCTATCTATCTATCTGTCGTAGTCTATTCGTTTCTATCTATCTATTTATTTATCGTTGTCTCTTCGTTTCTATCTATCGCAGTTTATTCGTTTCTATCTATCTATCTATCTATCTATCTATCTATCTATCTATCTATCTATCTATCTATCTATCTATGTAAATCTGTCCCGTGTCGTAAACTGATTTTTTTTCACGAATATCTTCTCTTTCTTTAATGAATTAAATACGATTCTTTCTCTTTTCATTCCTCCTCGCACAATTACCTTTCGTTCATTTCTTGAAGACGCCTCGATAAAATGTCCCTTTTCGCATTCATTACCACTGATGCATCTCGGCGCTAACTGCGGTCTATAGTGATTCATTTATTGCTACCCCACCCTCGCCCGAATCAAATGACGAGGAGCAAAATGAAAAGCACTTTAACAGTGTTTGTCATTTAATCAAACTGCGGAACAACAATGAGAATATTCTTTTCATTTCCATCAAATGTTCCCACCAGAAAACTATCGCGCTTAACGCTTTCTTTTTTCCGAAATATGGGACAATTTTATTTTTCTCTGTCATAAGCCATTTGAAGCAGTTCATGAATTTTCAATTTGTGCTCTGTCATATTCGGATTTGAAGGTTTTAAATTGTCTATTCTTGTTAATCACTTACAATCAGGAAATGGATTTCCACAGGCTAGAAGTGCGAGAAAAAGAACTGTTTGAGTAGAAGTAGCGATTATATTTAACTATTTCAACAGTAAAATGGTGGGAGCGAGATACCAATCAAATAGAACGCTTAAATTCACGTAATCGAGGCCCCAGGGAAAAAAGCTCGTCAGAGCAAAAGTCATGAAAAGACAGAGTGAAGCCACGTTATGTCGGTGAAAAAGTGACTGAAGTCGCCATGTCAGGTTAGGGCCGAAGTTCCTGTGGAGGGCTTTTGGGTCTTCGGCCTTTTACTTTAAGCGTCCTATGTAATTAAAAGTTATAAGAATTTAGAAATAATAAAAGTATTTTATCTTTATTCGACACCTTAATTCGACATAATCTTTCTTTCTCCATAGTCTGTTTACATTTATTTTGCACACAATTTTGATTTTTTAAAAAATCACCTTTCTTTATGCTTCCTTCACACAAAGTCACTCTTAAAAGACATTAGGAAACTCGAACTATGTATTATATCGAATACGTCACACTACTCGTGTTAGAAAAAGAAAGAAAACACATATGAGCAACGTACTGTGCCCCGATTAAGTTTTAATTATGGTTTAATTAGACGATATCAATTGAAATTGAGACGAAAAGTTAAAGCTTTAATAAAGAATAGTTTGCTTTTTTTAAATCTTTCATTCTGTTAAATATTTAAATTTAACTTTAAATGAGGCATTTAATATTTAATCGCGGGTAACTACATTAGTTACTGCCGGTTACTTCAAGTTGTTTATGATTCGCCGAGATCAAAAAACGAACGGACGGACATACGTACACTGCGCTTTATTTATAGAGATTTTCTCTGGTCAACTTGAGATAAAAGATTGAAATACATAAAATGAATTCATGCAAAAAGTAAATTTTCGAATTACGTTCACTTTCGCATCAACATCTTTGCGAATGGTTTCACACCTCTTCCCGGTCTTTTTTAACAGAAGTAGAGGTTTATCACTTGTTTTCTGTTTAGGATTGAGTTTCCGGTTCCTTCTAAAGTCTTTTTCATTCTCTTTCACTCCCAATAGCCACTTGCATCTTTGGGTAAATTGATTAAAAATATTATGAAGTAGAAAAATATTAAGATTTAAGAGAAAAGAAACCCCTTATTTTTGAAAGACTGTGCAACTGGTACCCAAATAATATATTGCATTCACTGCAAGGAAAGACTCACAAAACAAGAATTTATTATCATACAAATTAATCAACCCGCATCAAATATCTTTCACCGCTGAAGACGGCGGTGAAAGATATTTGATGCGGGTTGATTAATTTGTATGAAGAGATGGTATGAGCACCACCAGACACAGTTACCCAAAATAACAATATAACTCTGGGACATGCCAATTCAAACTAACACGGAAATAAAAGCCAACAGACCTGATATTATCATAAAAGACAAGAAATTCAGGAATTGTATGATTATTGACACATCAGTACCATCTGAGAGATATAGCTCTGTGAAAACTATCGTGAAATTGTCCAAATACAAGAACCTGGAGATCGAGATTAATAGGATTTGGGGAATGAAGATTGAGACTGTACCAATAGTAATCGGAGCTCTGGGCATTGTGAGAAAAGGAATGGACAGTTTTACTAAGTGTTCCAGGTAACATCAATATACAAGTTTCCCAGACGATCGCCTTACTAGGAACATCCTATATACTAAGAAAACTCCTATCAATTAAAGACAATTCTCCCATAAGGCCTAAAGACCATAGTTTGGACCCGGCTCTACAGGATACAAAGCAGGAAACATAATACACAAACAATAATAATGACAATAATAATAATTCTGTTTGTCCCTCCCTTCGTTAGTACTTTCGCACGACCGCTACGCCCTGTCCATAAATTATGGACTATTCCGTTTTGATTGTTTGAAACCAAGGAAGTGATATATCAGAGACACTACTTGGTTTCAGTGAGAAAAAAAAGAAAGGGAGGGAATATAGTAATGTTTAGCCTCTGTTCAGGGAAATGGAAAAAGTTCTCGATTTCAAATCTTTTCATTTCTACACTCTTACAATAAATTTTATTATTAAAAATGTTTGGAAGGCAGAGTTTCTGTTAATAATAATAATAATAATAATAATAATAATACGTATAAATATTAGATAAATTCTTTTCCGGTGCAGTTTAGATTTGGGGAACGGTTTTCGCACGACGTCGCTTCTTCGATGCGTGCATATTTGAATTAATTTGATTTCCAGCTTTCCAAAGAATGCCAGTCGTGTCTAGCAGACTGACAATCTGATTCTACATCTGATTCGAAAACTGGAAACCAAAATCAAAAGGAAACAGACGGCACGCATTGAAGAAATTCCGCACGTATTATTTATATGGATGTTGACGAATAATATCCATGCAAAAGTGGCTATAATAAGATAAAGTGGAAAAGCTTTACAGACGAAGCGTTTCACCCCGCCCGACACTTCGGGCTGGAGTGAGAGACAAACCTGGGTGCGCAAAAAGTGGTTTTGGAATAGGATGAACGCGTAATAAAAATCATAATCTAACGCCAATACCTAATAAATAATGGACTATTCCGTTTTAAACGCGTGGAAAAACGGAAATGACATATCAGGAACGCTACTTGGTTTCAGTGAGAAAATGAAATAAATAAAGAAAGATCCATCCCTTCTTGAGTTAGTTTCTTAGTTCGTTTGCACGACTATTACGTCCCGCCAATACCCCATAAATAATCTCATTTTTAACCGCGCGGAAAAACGGAAATGACATATCAGAAACTTTACATTGAGGAAATGAAAGCAAGAAGTGACGATAAAAGTATTTAACGTCTTTTTCAGTGAAATGGAAAAAAATTGTAAATATATATCATTTGTACTCCCTTACTTCTTAAAATAATGAACAGCATTCATATTTATGATTGTTATTGCAATATTTGGTCAAAATTGTTAGGTTCAAATATGTAAAGATGAGATAGGGGACTTTCAACGGACAATTTTATTTTTGAACTCGCCATGAGCTTCTTCAATCATTAACTTAAGATTCATCAGAATGTTAAAATAGGAAAACCGTGAAATTTTCCCAGATCTTCGCTGTATTATCTGTTGAATAGAATGATCGTATGTTTATTACAATTGGAAGAAATTTTAAACCCCTCCCCATAATACAGCGAAGTGGGGAGGGGTTTAAAATTTCTTCCAATTGTAATAAACATACGATCATTCTATTTCTTCTTCTTCTTCTTCTTCTTCTTCTTCTTCTTCTTCTTCTTTGTGTCATGGTCTTTCAGGACGTTGGAGTTCATGTCTCTCCTCAATTTCCTGTCCTTTGCTACTCTTAATAAATTTTTGTCTTTTTTTCTGATCTCTTCCAAACCATGCCCCACCATCCATTTACTCAAGCTATACGTTATGCGTTTTTTCTCTCTTGGCTTTTAATGTGTCTTGAGAGTATCACATTTTCCAAATCTTTCCTCAATATGTACTCTGGAAATTTCAACTGTATCTTTCTGATGATATCAGTGTCCTTTTTTCCAATGTTTGTAGAATATCATCGTTGCTCCCGTGTTCAGTCCATGCAGTTTCTAGGACACATAATGAGGAAAGAGGGTATGGAAAAGTTGATACTCACTAGACATATTGAATGCAAGAGGCACAGAAAAAAACAATGCAAAACCTACTTAGTGAGCCTGAGAGTGACAAAAAGACAAAATTTATTAAGAGCTACAAAGAACAGAGAAATGTGGAGAGCCATGATCGCCACGTCCTGAAGAGATACGGCATATAGAAGACGAAGAAGAATACACTGGTGGACATTTTTTTTTATATCCACAGGACATGGTGTTGGTTGCGGGCAAGAATTTTATTTTTAGGTGACCTCTAATATTGGTCCTTCTGTTTTGCAAATAGCTGTATCCAATACTTTCTGAGATATCCCCGTTGTTCTGAGCAGGCAACCAGGCAACCTTTTGCGCGAAAGTGAATGCAATATCCATAATTCTAATGGTTATATTTTCAAATGACAATAAAATATCTACTCAATTTTTCCGTGTTTCATATATCTATATCTATATATATATCTATATATATATATATATATATATCTATCTATCTATATATATATATATATATATATATATATATATATATATATATATACAACAACAACTTAGTGCTTCACTGATTACTGGTACTGTTATTACTTCCTTTACTAGTCATTCCCAAACTTTCGAAATTTTATACTTTAAATCGTTATAGATTTCAAAATACTACTTTTCCTTATTTTCAATTCTCATGTTAAATAGACAGGAGTTTTTATCAAGACGCAAGTCTTTTTTGCAGTTAAAGTCATTGGGCAATATTTCTGGAAAAGTTGTAAACATTTTTTTCATTTCAAGTGTTTGTTCCAATTCTAAATTACCATTTTTCCAGAATCCTTATAATTGCAGCGGTAAAGAAGTGTCCCTAAAACGTTAAATGTTCGCCAGCAATTTGGGAC